TCATTTTGAATCAAAACGTCCTAACTCAATTTTCCAGTGAAACAACAGGCTTCTCTCTGGTAGCCAGACTTCTCCAATCATTTAGTTCGCTTAACCTCTGCCCATTTATTACGAGCTGAAAGCTCATATTTAGATCTGCCTCCATCCACTCAACAACTGATTGATAGAACCAAGTCCCCACCCTACATTTTTCTTCTTTCTTCAATAATCAGTTCCGCTTTGATTTACGTCACAACACGAGATCTGTTGCTACTTCCTTTTCACTGCAACATTAAAAATTTGAAAATCATTCGCTGTTTTGGTTGTCAACAAATGCTCTCTCTATCCAGCAGGTGTCGATGTTGTACAGCTCAGCGGTGGTATGTGAACTCCTCCAGTCCTGTTACACGGGTATGCTGCAGTTCAGTGCCAAAGAGATTGTGAACTACCTGACTGCAGCCAGCTACCTGCAGATGGAGCATGTGGTGGAGAAATGCAGAGGAGCCCTGAGCCAGTACATGCAGCCCCGCAGTCGCAGCCCCATTGTGAGCATCTCAACCTCAAACACTGGTGGTCACCATTGCAGACCTGGTTTCTTCTTAATGAAACACCTCACCTAGACATAAAATTCTTCATTGAAGGAGACGTTTTGCAGGATGCTCTTTTTTTCGTACATTCACATAGCAGACACTTTTATTCAAAGAAACTTAGAGGAACATAAGAAAATCATCCCAGAACCATCAATATTCATACAGTATACTCTGGCAGGTTTATTAGAAAAGTAGATCCAGAAACAAGCTAGAGCAGAGGATAAATGCAGAAAAGAAAAAAAGAAGAGTATTTTCTGTGTGTGCATTGGTTGAAGGTTGTTAAGTGTTTGTGGGAGCGATGTGTCTTCAGCTGCTTCTTGAAAGTTGTGATAGTCTCATCCAGGGGTGGCCAGCTTCGGTCCTGGAGAGCCACAGTCCTGCATTGTTTTGCTCCAAACTTGATAAAAACTCTTTTGACTGGACCGCAGCCTAGAAAGCTAGTTTTTTTTTTTTTATGCCTTCCGTCGCTAACTTTCGGATGTACGTCATAATGATGGCCGCTTATTATGATGGCCACTTGAAACACTGCTTCATGAATGCTTAGAAACCTTTGTGAATCATTTGTTTGGAAACAGTGGTTCAGAGCGCATATCAAACTGCCAAATTCATGTGATATCAGTAAACAAGGCTTCGTTCGTTGAGGGGTTCACTGAGATCGTCTATGGTTTTTACCTAATCTAAAATCAGTTTTATCAAGTTGTTGACATTTTGTGTAATTAAAAGGATGAGTAGTAGTTAATAGTCTCTTACTGGCCTTTTCAAACAAAACAAACACTGCAAATGAATAATAATTAAAAAAACAAACAAACATTATTATACAGACACTTCATATTTAATGCTATTTTATTATTTTAATTGCATTTAATATTATACTTTCAAGAAAGCATTTGCATTGGGTTTGTAAAAGCTGTTTGTTTGTTTTTTGAGTTTGTTGCATTTACACAGTTTTGACCAGCAGTGTGTGGTGTTTTGAGCGCTTCGAAACAGTGAATCATTTTGCGAAGCAGTTGGTTCAAAGCTTCGAAAAGGTTCGTTTCTCCCATCACTAGTACGTCATTTATTACATTGCACAAGTGAGTGCGTGTCTAAAAGCGAAGTGGAATGCAGCCTTTGTAACCCTTAGTCCTTCATTAGCTTGTTCAGGTGTGTTTGATTAGGGTTGGAGCGAAACACTGCAGGACGGTGGCTCTCCAGGACCGAAGTTGGCCACCCCTGGTCTCTGCCGTTCGGGTGGAGGTTGGTGGCTCATTCCACCAAAGAGGAGCAAAGAGTGTGAAGGTTTTGGAAAGCAACTTTGTGCCTTATTGTGATGAAACAAGGTGTACACTCGTATGTGCGGATTGACGTAGGGAGGTGCAGTTCAAGTGGCAGTGCTAAAATCCAGCATCAAAGCCTTAAATTTGATTCTGGTCACAGCTGGGAGCTAGTGGACTGAGATCAGCAGTCCTCTTTGGCTGATTGAAGACCAGACGTGCTAGCGCATTGTAGATTATCTTCAGAGGCCCACTAAAGCTACTGTTCACGCTGACAGACAGAATGCTTCTCAAAATCTAAGCAAAAGCATAGTGTCATGCTCCCAAAAAGGACTAGTAGACAACACTGTAAAACACCATAAAAGGGGTCCATGTGACCAGAGATTTACGTTCCAAATCTTCTTAAGCCATAATATTTTGTGATTATAGCTATTTTGGTATTTGCTGGAGCTTGACAATCTGATTCATTTTAGTAAAAAAAATTAGGGATGCATGATATTGGATTTTTGCCGATATCCGATATGCCGATAATTTTCAACTCTTTTTGGCCGATAGCCGATACCAGTATATAATTGTTTTTAATTTTGGTTAGTTTTTAACAAGAACTTATTTGTTAGAATTAAATAAACCATAATAAAGTTCTTATATAATTACAGTACATTGAAGATTTGAAAATAACTATAAATAAACTATATATTAATCACTGCATTTTTTTTTTTTTCAGAAAGATGCAGTGGTAACCTTAAAGGGGTCATATGATGCGATTTCAATTTTTCTTTTCTCTTTGGAGTGTTACAAGCTCTTGGTGCATAAAGAAGATCTGTGAAGTTGCAAAGACTAAAGTCTCAAATCCAAAGAGATATTCTTTATAAAAGTTAAGATTCAGCCACGCCTACATAAAACAGCTCGTTCTAACACATAAACACATTTCATTACACCAAATACACAAAATAATGTTCTTTTTAGCAACATCATATGACCCCTTTAACATTTTATTTTATGATTTAATGTGTAAATGGTCTAAAGCCAAAGAGTTGTAAAATTTCAGAAAATCTTTTAGATTTCATAATTTGTTTAAAAAATATAACATTACACATTAATGAATAAATAAGTATATGTACAATTATTTAATTTAAGTGTAATGTTTGTGATTTTTTATTTTTTTTTTTTTGTTCATTTAAGCTATAGCTTCTGACCTTTAAATCAAAGCATACTCATGATTTCATGGCACCAATTACTGCTTTATTTATTCCGAAACGGTCTAAATATTATTTGTGTATTTTGCTTTCATCTTATTAGAAGTAGGCCAACAGCGCCCCCTACTGAATTAAAACTCCTGACCGAACAGGAATTAGGACCCGGGGGAGGCTGCCGATGCAGTGCTATTACTGTTTACTCTATCATACACCGAATGTGTCATTCTGCATGTGCATTCTCAGATTAAATGCAGCGATCCAAAACCGTGAGTCCAATCACCATTCAGGCAAAACTTTGCTTCAAGAATGAGCCACAATGCTGATGTGATCTAATCGCTAGCACACCCTGAGCACATGTGAATTAATGTATTCCTCTTATCGGCAAGACATTTTGGCATCATTTTTCATATCTGGCCGGTGCCGATAGTTACATTTAAAGCCATTATCGGCCGATTCCGATATTGGTCCGATAATATCGTGCATCCCTAAAAAAATCAACTTGACATGAGCATAAATGATGACAGAATATTTATTTTTGGATGAACTGTGCCTATAAAGAAATATAATGCAAATAAAATAGTTTAACCATACAATTCTTACTTGCATTATGTTTGTCTTTCTCCGTTTCTCCCATTAATTATTCAGACTGTGAAATCGGAAGACCCTCAGTCTATGCCAGTGATTGTCAGTGGAAGTACCCATTCATTGGGATCCATTTCATCCCCTTCTGATACGGCATCACTGCATCCTCACAGTTCAGGAAAGGAGCTCCAGGCTGCCGATGCCGAACTCTCCAACATCCCTCACAAAGATGACAGTGATTTGACCATACACTGTGTAAATATTTGTTGGTTTTGCTTTGTATGCTAATGCTAATGATTATTAGCATTCAAACCCTCAAGCTGTTTTTGCAACTGAAGTTTATAAAGAGACACTATTAAAACATCTCATATTGCTAGCATACTTGCAGGTTTTGAGACTAGGAAGAAGGATCTGGAAATTTAAATAATGATCTTCTGGAAATGTAATGGCTAAATAAAAACTGCATTAAAATTATTGCGATGTTCCTTAATCTCACTTCGCCAGCAAAATCATCAGACATGGTTGCTACATTATTTCTGTCAGTTTGACCGTCCCAAATCAAACAGGGTCATATCAGCACTTATTTTGGTAGTTTGCTCACTTGTGTTTAACAAGTTCAACTAATTTGTTTTCACCATTACAGGTTAAAGGATCAGATGCATCTGGACACTTTGAGGGAGAGGACGACGGGCCTGAGAGTGACATCTTTCAGGTGCAGATACACGATGAACATCAAGACCCCGAGAAGACCTCTAGTGCTGAGGAGGAAGACAGAGAAGCTGTTGTCATGTTAGACGACCACGAACCGCTGGATGCAGGTATAGAGGAGCCCAATATGGAGGGGCGAGCTAAAGGCAACGGCCTCAGAGGGGCAGGCCGCATGTGGAGACGACGGCACGGAGAGCACAGGGGAGGCAGAGGAAGAGGCTTAAAACACAGGAAGCAATACACTTTGAAGGACCGCAAGCTCTTGGGTAACTATCAGGAGGCTTGGCGGTTTCCAACCCCTGATGAGATAATGGGCAATTTTGGAGCAGACTTTGGGGTTGATTACCTGTCCAATCAGCATCTCGCAGACGGTACCGTCCGCATTGAGTACAGGCCTGGAGAAGAGATCGGCTCTGATGGAGGTCCTGCACACTTCGGTGTGGAAGCTTCCAGCGGGGAAGAGAGAATGGGAGTTGGGACACATACAAATGAACACGGAGCTGCTGACGAGTCCGTAGCAGTGGTGGGATCCACGTCCTGTGTAACGGGACCAGTGGTGTGTGAGCAGTGTGGACTAGCATTTTCCTCAACGCAGGACTTAGCCATGCATTCCCTGTCAACTCACCGACTGTACGTGTGTCCATGCTGTGGGAAGCACTTCAGCCACTCCAGTAACCTCAACCGCCACATGATCGTCCACCGTGGAGTTTCCAAGCTCCACTGCTGCCCCCTGTGCCACAAGACCTTCACTCAGAAGTCAACACTGTGCGACCACATGAACCTGCACAGTGGGGAGCGGCCGCATGTGTGCGCATACTGCCACGTCAGCTTTGCCCATAAGCCTGCTCTACGCCGGCACCTGAAAGAGCAACATGGAAGGACAACGGCCCAAAACTATCTGGAAATGCAGCGAAACAATGAGGGTGGTGTTGGGGAAGGGGTTTAGATCAGATTTAAATAGTTACTGTTTTAATGAAATCAGAATTAACCCTATTTACTTTCTTAATACACATTTCTAGGCTTATTGTGCACAATTTATAAGTGCACATTAGGTGAAAATGTATGTCTTTGTAATCAGTATGTAATAACTGTATTGTTGTCAATGTGCAGGCCGAACACTGCCAAAGCATTTGAGCCTGGAGAGACTGAATGAATTTATACTCACTCATAGCAACAGTTCACCCAATACTGAAAATTCTATTATTTACTCACCCTCATGTCATTTCAAACCTCTGACTTTTTTCTGAGAAACAAGAAATTTTGTCTGAATAGGTGATAAGCGCTTTTCCACCGTCGGGCCGAATCATTCTTGTTGCTTAACCGTTCCATTTCATGCTGATCTGGCCCAGCTGGTATGGATATGGCTTCATTTTCCACTGTGGGGCTGACAACAGAGCTGGTAATACAAATGTGTCAGTCATTGCCTTGGTACTAAGATGAGATAGCTAGTGACCGTGTTATGGAGGATGAACAGATATTTCCTTTTACTTCACTCAAATAGTGTGCTTGGCCAGCTAGCTACAGAGAGAAACTAGCAGCCAGTATCAGACCACAAACAAGTGACCCATCCTGAGTGGCGACATCACTACACTCATTCTACCAACACGGTTCGGCTCAAGTGGAAATCTAACTGTAACCATTCCTTACTGTTCTTAGAACCATTCAACCCGACAGTGGAAAAGCGGTTAATGATGTTGTATAAACCAAGGTGTGCCTCACACGTCCTGAAAAGTGAAGCTGCGGGCTCTTTGATCGCCCCCTGGTGGCTGGCTGCAGTACAGGTCATAAACCCCGCCCTCTCCATGTAAACGAATGGGACTTGAGTCAAAATAAAAAATAAATTACACTTCCAATACAATTTTCTGAAAGATGGCTTTGGTCATTTAAGGTAGTTGTTATCACGCTGATATATGTTCAAATGTTCGTTTTTGTGATCAGTTTGATTTTAGCTAGTAATTTGATGCTATAAAAACATGTCATTATGGTTGATTGGGTCTGCGGGAGTTTGGGCGGGACTTTGATACCGCGGCTCCACCTCACAACACTACTGCACAGACTCTGGGTGTTTCTAAATGGAAGGCTGCATCCTCCCAAGGCTGCATATCTCGGCTGCCATGTCATCAAACGTCGCTTAAAGGGATACTCCACCCCAAAATGAAAATTTTGTCATTAATCACTTACCCCCATGTCGTTCCAAACCCGTAAAAGCTTCGTTCGTTTTCTGAACACAATTTAAGATATTTTGGAAGAAAACTGGGAGACTTGTGCCTGTCACATTGACTGCCAAGTAAAGTACACTGTCAAGGTCCAGAAAAGTATGAAAAGCATCGTCAGAATAGTCCATCTGCCATCAGTGGTTCAACCGTAACGTTATGAAGCGACGAGAATACTTTTTGTACGTGAAGAAAACAAAAATAACGACTTTATTCAACAATTCATCTCCTCTGTGTCTCTCCGCATCACCATTTTGGAGAATATCCACTGAACGCAAGCAGCGTATGCTATTCTGTGTCAGCCGCTACACAAGGATACATTTTCTACGTGTATTTACGCTTTGATTTGAACGAAAACAGCGCATCCGTGTGGCGCGGCTGACACAGAAGAGCGTATGCTGCTTGCTGCTTGCCCCTCTTTTACGGGTTTGGAACGACATGGGGGTAAGTGAGTAATGACAAAATTTTCATTTTGGGGTGGAGTATCCATTTAAGGCCATCTCAATCGGAATGATCCTTGGAAGGCAGCCTTCGTGTCGCATCCTTCATTCAGCTGAATTTGAAGGATGCATGGGATGTATCCTCCGCGATCCTTTGTACCAATTCCATTTCATGAAAATAAACTGACGAAAAATGATTCAGAAATAATGTTTACGGACATGAAAACATAGATGTTATTTTTTGTTTTGGTGTAAATTACTCACTAAACGCTAAACTGCCAATAATGTCCACTGGGAGACTGTAGACAGCTGTGATTTACTGTATTGCATTAATAGAAAGCCAAATAATATAATGATTTGTAATGCAAAGTATTTGTATTTTCGTGCCGAGACGTTGAGGGTGAGAACTTATGTGACGTAGCCACGTGCACTTACTAGACTGTCTCATTCTAGCGTTTAATGCCGAGGAGGGCTGGACTGGGAAGGACGCAGCCTCGGTAGGATGCAGCCTTCCGTTTGAGAAACACCCTCTGGCTCCAAACGAATCTCTACTGCGCAGACTCTGGCTCCAAATGACGTAATTTACTCAAGATGGCAGCGGCCATACTGAGATGCTTTGGCTTCAAGTGGAGACGGATCGTCCATCTTTTTTACAGTCTATGTTTAAACCTCAACGTTCTTCAAAACATCTTCATTTGTAAAGATGACAGAATTTCCATTTTTGGATGAACTACCACATAAAAGCACAAATACTACAGTTTTCTGTGTTTCTTTACAGGTTAAAATTCTTTTTACTACAAGTGATAAGACAATAATGTATGCGAAGTGAAGGTCTAGCATATCTATGGCTTGTAAGAGTGATAAACATGTTAATATAAACAAAACAAAATATGTTCATGAATTAGTACTGTGGCGTGATGAGGAAAGTAAGAAAACGTGTTTGTCATTTTTGTTGTAGTGCAACTTTAGTGTCTGTATGTTGCTAATTCAACAAAGCCGTATTAAAAAGATTTTGTCCCAACTGTAATTTTCTTGCTGTGAATTAATATTACAATGATTATTATTAATGTTTTATTTGTTGATATTCTTCTTTACACTCATTCTCGTTACTGTAAGAATGGTGTATAACATCACATGGGAAAAATAAAAAAACAAAAGGATTAGACCTAATATGTATGGAATACAATTAAATCTGATAATGTTACTGTTCTAAAAGGGCATGCCTCTGTATTTCTATCTGGCCAATGCAGGGGTGTGTCAAGAGCATTTTAAATGGGGGGCCCACAGGCTGGAGCACTGCCTAAAAGAGGGCGGCTGCAGTAAAATCTATTATACACTATTAAGATATATGCTATTGCTATTTTTTGTATAGGTGCATAAAGTAAGATTCCTGTAAAGCTAATGTTTATTTCTTCCTTTGTCTTTTCACATAAACTACAGTATCTAACACTAGTCAGCAATATTCATCATTGATCCTAACAGCCACTTTCAGGTGAACGCTTTCATTGTTTAGGACCTATTCAATAAAATAAAATTGCAATCCAATGACAGGGACGCACATTTTGAAGGACAAGAGAGTAGCCTATAGGATGTATTTTGAATGTCTGGTAGTCCTCAAAAAACATTATAGTCCCAGCTCCTCTTGTTAACGCAGCATAAATTTCGTCATAGTTTTTATCATCAGATATTAGTTTTAGCTGTCAACGTCTCGTCTTAGTCACAGAAAAAAATATGTTCGTTAACGAATATTTTTCGTCGTCATCTTCGTCGACGAAATTAACACTGCTTTTGATTAAATGAGATACTGACACTGTTTTTCATGCTTAATACTGATGCTTGCTTTTAAAGGGGTCATATGATGCTACATGCACTTTTACAAGTTGTTTGAACTGAAATGTGTGTTAGCAGTGTGTGTACACAACCACCCTAAAATGATAAAAATCCACCCGGTGTTTTTTTTTTTACGGTCACGCGAATCATTCGTGATCCAGCCTCATCTACAGAAGAAGTGAGTGTAAGGTTTTTTTAATTAATCTTGTCAAATCGCCTTTCCTAATAATGTGCTAATTAGCAAGTTTCACATGAATGCGGCTAAAGTAAACAGTGCCTCTGAGAGCGGCTCGGAAGAGAGGGGCGGGGTCAGCAGAGCTCATTAACGTTTAAAGGAAAATACTACAAAACTGCCCTCTGAAAAGAGCTGTTTTTGACAGGGTAAAAAAGGTGTTTTTTAC